ACTTGAAGGATTCGGTCCATGGTTGGTTGTTTCCAAAGCAGATATTCATGGCCAGTGGGTGTGGCTCATTTGGTGTATGGAATTATTGAAGTTTTCTATTGTTCATCTTCTGGTGGGATACCTTGTCCTTTACTAAAAGTGAGTAAGTGATCTATGATGACTGTATTGCTATTTCTCTGGGGGTTCTTTGTATTATATATATATATATATATATATATATATATATATATATATGCTTTTATATTAAGTACATAAATATTTACAAGTCATATCTTCTCACTAGATTCTTTAATAATTATAAAATCTTTTATCTCTATTGTGAGAGCTTTTGATGGAGTCCACTGTGTCTTAAAAGTATACCAATCCCTATTATTTGTATGTAATTTGTGTATAATATTTATATACAAATATTTATAATAATTATAATTTGTGTATAATATTTAGCATCATTTTTATTTATTCATTAACTTTTAATCTATATTTTAATCTATATTTGCCCTTAAATTTATAGTCATTTTCTTGTATAAAGTTATTCTTTTTAAAAAGTACCTGTTCAACACTCCAAACATGTTTTTCTTTCTTTGGCTCTTGGTGTTACTGTTGTTCTGTTATTGTTGTTGTTATTGTTGCTGGTGCTACTGGGGATTGATCAAGTTCTAGGCATGTGATGTATCACTGGTCTATCTCCCTAAGCTCTGCAATCCATTGGTTTCAATTCAGGATTTTATTTATATTTTAAGCACTTATTCATAGGAAAGAATTTGTTATAGACATTTTGACTTTTTAAAATTAGTATTCTAATTCTAATTCTCTTTTGATTTTTGTGGTACTAGGAATAGAACCCATGGTCTGGCCCTTGCTAAACAAGTGCCCTACCAAGGAGCTATGTCCCCAGACCCCATTCTTGTAATTCTGCTGTCTTAATTACTTTTTATTGCTGGGGCAAAATATCCAATACCTACAATTTAAAGGAGAAGAAATTTATTTTATTTCACAATTTGTAAAAGTTTCAATCTGTAGCAGACTGGCTCCAAGACAGGGTAGCATGGAAGATGGGAATGACAGAGAAGAAACAGTTTATAGCATGACAGACAAGAAGAAGAACAAAATTCAAGGAAAGAGAAGGGATACATAACCCTTCCAAGCTACACTCATAATGACCTACTTCTTTCCAGCAGGCTTCCTAACATCACACCAACTATAAACCCATCAGAGAACTCATCCAGTATCATACATGTGTGGTCCAGTCACTCCACCTATGAGCACATGAGTCTTGGGGGATGTCTAGATATAGACCAGAGCATCTGCTATTTAATATTGCTCCTTTGATTTCTTTTCTTTTTATTTTTTGTGTTTTTATATTGCTATGCTTTGAATTCTTTTTATATCATATATACTTATAAGTATGTATCTGTCTATGTAACTACCTATTGATTTATCTTTGGATTATATTGTGATTTTCATAAGACATCAGAAGGTGGTAACTATATATGTTAAGCTTGCAAACTAAATTAAGTTGTAAGTGGATATTCTCCATATTAACTTCTCCTTTCTCTGAAGTTTACTTTAAATTTTTCACGATTGGTATCTTTTTATGTTTTGTTTATACTTAGTTTACCACTTTTGTATTTTTGAATTAGAAATTTATATTAGAACTAAAAGTGATCTAACCACTACTATTATAGTAATATAATACTTCATGTTTATCTATGTATTTACCTTTACTAATGAGTTTTATGTTTTTATGTAATTTTATTCCTGCTAATGTCTTTTCATTTCATTCTTAAGTATGCCATTTCATATTACTTTAATATTAAATGTTTGTCTTACTTTTCTTGTTGCTGAGACAAAATACCCAGCACCCAAAGTTAGAGGCAGAAAAGTTTATTTAGCTCACAGTTTCCATCCGTGATTAGCTGGTTCCAAGGCAGAGTGGCACATGGCAGAGGAGCAACAGTTCATGTCAATGAGAAGCAGCAAAAGCAGCAAGAGAAAAGCATTTTTCTTTCCCTTATGTTGTATTCAGTCTACCAGAATTTCGGGGGTGCCAGTCCAATCAGTGGACTGATCCATCAATCACCTACTCTTAATCCTGATACCCTTAATCCCATCATCAAATTACAAATCAATCACACACTCTAGATTCAGCCACCTCCAGAAAAACTCCAAATGCATGAGGCTTTGGGGAGGCATCTAGGCACAAACCATGACACTATTGACAGTGTCACTATTTGGGAAAATCTCTATCTCTACTTTGTTTCTTATAGCAGCCTTGGTTGGTAAATTTTTCTTCTTTCAGCAACTTGGACAGACCATTCTATTCCCTTCAGGCTTGTCTGGTTTCTGCTAAAAATTTCCTTCCAGCAGTCCTATAATTATTTACATGTTGAGCTGTTTCTCTTTTTCTGTTCTCAAAATTCTGCCTTGTTTTTAATTCTTTATAATTTATTTATAGTGAATCTAGATGTGGATTTCTTTACTTTTATATAGTATTCTGTGGGTTTGTTGAATCATATCAATTTCCTTCACAATGGATAACTCTTCATCCATTGTGTCTTTGAATAATCTTCCCAGTATTTAAATTCTTCTAGTTCTGTGTATATTGGTCTATTAATAGTGTTTCATAAGACCTGACCATCATTTTAATTTGAAACTCTTAAGTGAATTATTTCTAAAGATCTTTCTTCAAATTCACTGACCTTTACTCTGATTGAATCTGCTTATGAATCCTTCTTGTGAATTTTCTCCTTTATTATATTTCACTCCATGACATCTATCTTATAGTATTTTTGTCTTTTGAATTGATAGCCTTCTTTCAGTAGCTGCTTTTCCTTTATTCCTCAACTCTGCTTAGCAAGGGTAACCATATACAAGCCCTTCCACTCCTCCTGCTTCCTCCATTGTTCGCCAGTGCCTGGAAAGCAAAGGAACAATCAGAGCTTCAGAACTCCTGAGACAGATGCTAGTTATTGGACAGCTCCCTCAAGAAAATCTGTGCCTGGTGTGCAGACAAACCCTCCTTTCCTTGGAAGAAGCATGGGGCTATAGAATTCTTTCTGTTGTGGCTTTGGTGCACCATCTTCAGCAACTAAAGGTCCTGATACAAGGCACTATTTGTATCTGGTTTTCATTCTCCAGGGAAGAAAAAAAATCCCTTCTTTCTTACCATGATCTTGGCCATTATTTCTTTGAATGCTTTTTCAATGCCATTATTTTCTCTTCTAAGAATTTTTAAATACGTTTTGGATGTTTAGTTGTTCCACAGGTCCTTGAGGCTCTATGGATTTTATCCAGCTTATTTGCTGTATTTTTCAGACTAAATAAGTTTAAATTCTATTTGATCTGTTCATTGATTTCTATCTCCAGTCATATCCACTATTTAGTGTAGCTAGTATATAATTGTACTGTTTATTATGTTTTTAAGTGCTCATATTTTCATATGTTTTGTGGCTTGTTTCTTTACTCAGATTGTTATTAATTATTTTCTTTAGGAGATGTGTAATTGTTCATTAATTCAATTTTTGTGGGTGCCCTACAACATTTTCCTCATAAATCTAAAGTACAATTTATCTCAATATAGGCATTGATTACTTACGATTTTTATTCTTACTGTAATATGCATAACTTAAGAAACATTTTCTGTGTAACAACTGGATAAGGAGATACTTGACCTGTTTAAATTTTCTATGTTAGAAAGAAGTATTCCAGTTTAAATTTAGATTAATATGGTCTGCTCTTTGAGTGACAAGTTATCTTCTCAGGATTACCAATATGTGAGCTTCATTCTTCTGGCTCTGCAGTAACTCCTTGTTCCTTGCTATTGTGTTCCACTGTTAGGCTATAAAGTTATGGCATTGTTTGGTACAGGTAGGTACTAAAAGATTTGTGGATGGAAAGCATTGTCCATGGCTGCTTTTTTAGCTGTAAAATGCATGTTCTTTATTCGTGCCTCGGCGTTAGGAAAGCTACTGTAAGAACTGTGGGGACTACCTTGGCTTCTTGGCTTGGAGGATATCTCATAATGATCTGCCAGCAAAAGGCTCTCCATTCTAGAATACAGTCTCCCCTGGCCTGAGGTTTGGGGTCTTACTTTCTTTCCACCATCCTATGAAAGGCTTCTAGCTGCAGGTCCTGTTAACACTAATGAGTTGGTGGCGATTGCTGTTCTTACTTAACAAGAAGCAGGGTTGTATCTTTCCTGTGCACTGAAAGATGGCTTTGATGGTGGTTTTAGATGAAATACACTGCTGTCAGTGTGTGTTGGTCATAAGACAGGCTGGCCTATATAGGCTGTGCTCCCTGCTGCTCAAGGTAAATATGGACCTCTTCATATACCTGCGCGGGCGAGGGTGGGGATTGCTAGCCCTCTTGAGGTAAAGTGAATAGTTAGGGATGTTTACAGACCAACTCAAAAGAGAATGCCCTCAGACGGAAATTTTCAAAGTTTCCATTGAACAAAGGAATATAATTGATTTTAGAAGTCACTAGATTTAAAGGAAAAGCCAGGAAAGCTGAAAAACATTATTAGGGGAGCGCTCAGGAAAGTAAAATCCTGTAAAGTCCTTGAGGAAGAAATATAAACTATGAACAATCAAATATCTCTAGAGAGAGATGTTAAAGAAAAATAAAGTAGAGGAAATAGCAAGTACGATTCTTTGGATAACTTAGAAAACATCAATGAAAACTTTCACAGTTGCAGTCAAAATAATGCAGTAAATTGTACAGTGATTGCAGTTCAACACAATGTTGAAGCTCTCTGACTGTCAAAGAAAAGATGTAGCTAATACAGATGCTTTTCAAAATTTAGACTTATGGTAAGGATGACTTGAGAGAATGTAGGAATCATGATTAGCGATAGACATAAAAGGGTGAAGAGGTAAGCATTGCAACAGAGGAAACGAAATGGGATATGTCAATGGATAATATTTATAGATCGTGGTGAAATCAAGGACTTAATTTGTAAAACACTCATAAGTGTATCTTCCTATACTTCTTTTTAGGATCATTGTTTTTATGAAGGATATGCAGCAGAAAGGCCAAAGTCAGTTGTGGTACTGAATGCCTGTGCTGGACTCAGGTAACGGCGTGTTCTAGAGCCCCCACATTAAAGATCTTGAAAGACACCTTAGTTTTCAGAAACTTTTCCAAGATAGCATGAAAACCGCCAAGTGTGGACTTTGGATGTATTTCTTAACACTTCCTTTGTTTCTTCCTCTTCATTGTACCACTTCCCTCTTCTTCTCCCTTGCTAGGCTTGCAATCATAAAATTCACGCAGTAAAATCTCTTACTGGCATGAAGAGAACCAGCGTAGGTGCCCCATCTACTGCTAAATGGTCTAACAGAAATAAAAAGGTAAAGATTGTGTGCACTTCTGTTTTTGACAAGATTATCCTTGTCCTGATGCCAACCCTAGTAAAAGACCTGTAATAAAAGAAAATAGTAGGCTAATATCCTCAAGGAACATATATGCAAAATCCTGAACAATATATTAACAAATGTAATTCACAAATACATCAAAAATATCATTCATTGGGTCAGAGTAGGATTTATCTCTTAGAAGCAAGGATGTTCAACATAAGCAAAGCAATAAGTATAATACATAACATGGTCAGCATGAAGGGGGAAAACCTTAGGATCATTCTAAGCAGAAATGCATCTGACAAAGTTCATATCTTTTTGTGACAAAAATTAGAAGTATATGTCTCAACAATTAAGGACCATATATGACAATTATATGGCTTATATCATTCTAAACCATAAAAAATAAAAATCCTATAGAAAATAGAAATAAAAATTCCTTTAAGACTAGGACTAAGACAGGATGCCTGTCATCGCTTCTATTCAGCATAGTAATAGGAACCCTAGAGGTAACTATTAAGCAAGAAAAAGGAAGAAACAACATCTAAATTGGAAAAGAAACTCTATGATTCAAAGATGACTTTCTTGGGGACTGGAGATTTAGCTCAGTGACATAAGCACCTGCCTGGCAAGTGCAAGGTCATGAGTTTGATCCCTGGTATAAAAAAAAAAGATGACTTTCTCTCTTTTTTCTTCTTTTCCTTTCTCTGGTTCTCTCGTATACATATAGATAGATAGGTACATAGGTAGGTAGGTAGGTAGGTAGATAGATAGATAGATGTAAGAGATTCTATCAAAAATTTTAGAGCTAAGTAAATTAATTTGGTTAACTTACACAATGAAATTCAACATACATTTTATATCTTTACAAAAAGTACCTAAAAAGGAGATAAAGCAATTTGATTTGCTTTAGCTACTACAAAATACATTTTTAAGGAATAAATTAACCAGGGAAGTGAAAGACCTGCACCCTGAAAAGTAAAAAATGTTGAAGAAAACTTTGAAAAAGACATTCTTATCAGAAAGATTCACTGTGTTTATGAATTAGAAGAATTAGTGTTAAAATTTTTCATATTACCCAGAGCAATCTACATATTCAGTGCAACTTCCATTAAAATATCAATGTCTTTATCCATAGAAATAAAGAAAAACCGGTTAGCATGGAGAACAAAAGCTGAAGTTATCACATTACTGTAAATATGTTACCAAGCTCTAGGTATCGCAACAGCATGACACTGGCAACAAAACTAACTTGCAGACTAATGGAATAGAATAAAGACCCCCAGAATTAATTGTGAAGTCCACTAATTCTTGACACAGGTGCTAAGAGCACAGAATATTACATACATTCCATATATTCCATACGTAATGTTGGTATGCCTAATGGGAACAAAGGCCTGTCGCCAGGACAGAACCAGGGTTTTATTCATTCCTGAAGAGGAGAGTGGCTTGGGGATGAATGACTGTGAGAATGGTGGGAGATAGTGAGTACTGAAGCTGGGCAAGGGAGAAGGCCTGATAGCACCTCTGCAGTATGCAGAGAGAGAGAGGGAGATGCAGAAAGAGTAATCTGCATAACAGTTTTTGGAAGGATCTTGTATTTTGGAGTCCAAGCTTCAGCCTGGATGTCTAGCCTTTGTGCCCTGAGACAGCATAGGTTCTTTCTCAAGCCTGTCTCAGCAGAAAGGATGCCTCACTCGGTCTAGCTTATGCATACTAGTTGGGAGCAGCAGGAGGGGCATCACTGACCTGCTTTAAATGTCACACATCAGCGCTGCAGCTAGATCCATTTGCATTGCCTAAAGCAAATTGAGGGGGCAAGAAAGATCCTAGCCAGCTCTGTACATCCCAGTACACAGAATTAGAGCTAGGTTTAGCCAAAGTGGAGACAAGGGCACTGGTGCATCTTTCAAGGAGAACCGGGGGTCCCAGGGGTCCTCCACATAGAACCATAGCTTTTGGCAGTAAAATAGCCTTTATAAAACTTTTTACATATTATTTAGAAGTATATATAATCTTTATTTGCATATTTTTGTCTCAGTCTGAATATTGTAACTGCATTTTTGATCATTAAAAATTAAAGTTAAGTATGACAGGGTGTGCTTAGATAACAGATTGCAAAGATCATCAAACAGTGTAACATATTTAACACCAATTTATAGTTTTCATTGGAAAATATATACTCATTTTCTTTTTATTTCTCTTTTTGTGTTTGAACATCTAGAGGAATGATACAGTTTGAGAATGTCAGTTATGTGATCGAGTCATTGGAATATATCCCGACATATGTGCATATGCTTTATCAGATTAAAAATAACATACCACACTCCTCCTCACCAGCAAGTTACGTTGTGCCTCCAGCTCCACCTGAGTCCTACAGAACTTCTATGAAACAGGAAGTAAGTAACCCTCTCTGTGAGATCCTCATTTATGTTCCTTTTGAGAAACTTACTCACTTTCAAATTTGAGATGTGTCTCATTGTGGAAACAAACTTTGAACACATGGTGATTATCAAAAAGCCTACATCACAGGGTAAAGGATCTTTAAAAATATTCTTATTTATATAATATTTAGAACATGCACTACATAAACATATAAATTATCTCTTTTTTTTATTGTTTGTTTTTTGTTTTTGAACCAGGAATTGAACTTATGACCTCATGCTTGCCACATAGGCACTATGCCACTGAGCTATATCCCTAGCCAACCATATGAATTAAAAATCATTCTAACCATAAAATTATTTTCCTAATTGTAGACTTTTTATGCACTTATGTTGTGACAGTTTTCCTGAATATACGTGCTAATACTACCAAAATTTTCACATTTGACAGTTATTACTTGACAAGCACTTCCTTTTGTAAAGCATATTCTTTGTGAAAAATCATTATTTTGGTATCAGATTTACAGATAGAAAAGACAGAGGAAAATCCACTAAAAATTTGTCTATATATTATTATCTAGAAAAAGTACTATTTTGGATTATTTGTTCTAATTATTATTTTTATTTATCAGTATATGTGTTGACTTACTTCACAGTTGGTATTTGATACATTTCATGAGATTTAAAATTTTTATGTCCATTTCTCTTCTTCTTCTTTCCCCTTTTGCATCTCTTTCTCCCCTTCTGATTTTCAGATCTATACTTGCTTCCTTTCATTTATCTTTCATTTTGCTCTTATTTATACTTTTGAGTTTTCATATTAGCAAAACTGTGAGGTAGTTGAGCTTCTGTGTCTGGTATTTCACTTAACATTGGGATTTCAAGTTGTATCCACTTTCCTATAAATGACTCAAATTTAGTCTTCTAAATGGCAGAGTAGTGCTTTATTGTGTATAAATATTATTTTCTTTATTTATTCGTCTACTGATGGAAATATAGACTATTAAGATTTAACTATCATGAGTTATGGTGCTATAACATGAGTATGCAGATACCACTATAATACCTACTAGGGGAATAGCTGGGTTGAATGAAAGCTTTAGTTTGTTTTTTTTAGGAATCTCTATACGTATTTCCATAGTGGTTGTACTGGAATACATAGTGGTTTACATTACTAAGAATAATAGGGGGGAACTGTGGAGTTTCAAGCAAGCAGGCAAGCGCACACTATCCCCGGAGCCCAGCCTATTTGGGATTCTCCCACCCTCTGGGTACAGAGTAAGGGCTGGGCGGATCTGGGGCACCTGCATCCACCTTCCCATGTGTCTGGAGGACTGTGGAATTCTAAGCAAGCAGGCGAGCATCACCAGTTCCAGAGGCCCCGCAGCCTACGGTAAGTGCCCAGTGTACTCTGCCCCAAGCCCAGCCTGTTCGGGACCCTTGAGCCTTCCGGGTGCAGTGAAGTGGATAAGTGGGTCCGAGGCGCCTACATCCGCCTCCCCATTCTGGCTGCGCTCGGAGAACTGTGGAATTTCAGGCAGGCAGGCGGGCACACACTGTCCCCAGAGCCCAGCCTGTTTGGGATTCTCGCACCCTCTGGGTGCAGAGTAAGGGCTGGGCAGATCTGGGGCACCTGCATCCCCCTCTCCGTGTGTCTGGAGGACTGTGGATTTCTAAGCAAGCAGGCAAGGGTCACCAGTTCCAAAGGCCCCATGGCCTGCAATAAGTGCCCGGTGTACTCTGCCCCAAGCCCAGCCTGTTCTGGACCCTCGAGCCTTCCAGGTGCAGAGAAGTGGCTAAGTGGGTCACAGGTGCCTACACCCACCTCCCCATTCTGGCTGCACTCGGAGAACTGTGGAGTTCCAAGCAAGCAGGTGGGCACACAATGTTCCTGGAGCCCAGCCTATCTGGAACTACCGAGTTCTAGGCAGGCAGAAGACCGCCACTGGTTTCACAGGCCCAGCGGCCTGGGGGAACTGGGTGCCAGCGTCCCAGGAGCTGTGAATATAGAAATGGATTTCTAACACACCCTGAGGAAGCTTTTGAATAACACTTGAAACACAGAAATATAGGAAAATGACAAAACGAAAGACCAAATTACAACCTCAAACCTCCAGCCCATCTCAAGAAACCCTAGGAGCGATGTATATAGAAGAAAATATATGTAATACACCTCAAATATTGGACATAATAGCTACTGAAATAGACAAGCAACTCCAGGAAGCTTTAAAGGAATTAAAAATTGAAATAATTTCCCAGGTAAAAGAAGAAATGATAAAAGAAATGAAAGAGATTCTGAATATATCTAAGAAAACACAGTTTAAAAATTGGAGGAACTAAACAAAAAGATAGAATCCCTAGATGAGCAATATAAAAACAAACAGAATACATAAAGCAGATGCACAGAGATATACAGGAAATAAAAAAATACACTGAAAGCTGTAAAAACCGCCTCAATGAAAGTGAAGATAGAATTTCAGACCTTGAGGACAGGATTGCAGCCAGTGAACAGGAAAGGAAAGATCTTTTAAAAATAACAAGGAATCAGGAAATAACAAACAACTGCAAGATGATGCAAACAAAACAACATAAGATTGATAGGAATTAATGAAAAAGAACGGGACAACATAAAGAACCTCAAGAGGATATTTAGAGAAGTAATAGCTGAAAATTTCCCAAGCATGAGATCAGAAAACGACATCAGGTTCAGTGAAGCCTATAGAACCCCAAATGGTCATAACCAAAATAAAACTACATCCAGACATATAATAATCACCATCCCAGAAATCCAACACAAATATAGATTATTAAAAGCTGTCAGAGAGAAAAGACAGATCACTTATAAAGGAAAACCTATCAGAATCACAGCAGACTTCTCAGCACAAACAATAAAAGAAGAACATGGAGTGAAGTATTCCAGATCCTAAAGGAAAATGATTTCCAACCTAGAAACCTGAAAAACTATCATTCAAAATCAATGGTGAAATATGATACTTCCATGACAAAGAACAGCTGCAGAACTTCATGAACAACAAACCAACCCTGCAAAAAATACTGAGAGACAGTTTAGATACACAAAGGAAAAAAACCACTAAGCAAAGCAGATAATTAAACAGAACAGAAAGATAAAGATGCAACAGCAGAAAGATAACATGTCAACAATAAACCAGCATATAACAGTTATAACCATTAATGTAAATGGTCTCAATGCACTAATCAAAAGAAACAGACTGGCAGCATGGATCAAGAAACAAAATCCAACCATATGCTCTTTACAGGAAACCCATCTAACCCAGAAGGATACTCACAGACTGAAAGTCAAAGGATGGAAAACAATACTTCATGCAACAAGAATCCAAAAAAAAAGCAGGAGTAACCATTCTGTTTGCAGACAACGTGAACTTTAAACCAACAATGATCAGAAAGGACAAAGAAGGTCACTACATACTCGTGAGGGGAAAACTCCAAGAGGAAGAGATAACTATCTTAAATATATATGCACCAAACTCCAGAGCACCCAGTTATATAAAACAACTATCAACAGAAATGAAAAATCAAATTATCAGTAACACAATTGTAACAAAAGACCTTAACACACCACTGACACCAAGGTACAGATCAACCAGACAGAAAATGAGCAAAAAAATAATAGAACTGAATCACACCTATGAACAAATGGACTTGATAGACATATACAGAATGTTCCACCCAACAACATCAGAATCTTTTAGGAGAGAAATCACTCCTAAAATTCATCTGGAACTAGAAAAGACCTAGAATATCAAAGGCAATTCTAAGCAGCAAAGACAAGGCAGAGGCATCACATTCCATGACTTGAAGTTGTACTACAAAGCAACAGTAGTAAAATCAACCTGGTACTGGAATCAAAACAGAGCCAAAGATCAATGGAATAGTTTACAAGATACAACCACAACTACAAATACACTCAACCACCTTATCTTTGATAAAGGAGCCAACCAGGTTCACTGGAAGAATGACAGTCTCTTTAATAAATGGTGTTGGAAAAACTGGCTCTACATTTGCTCAAAACTAAAACTAGACCCATACCTATCACCATGTACTAAATTAAAATCTAAATGGATCAAAGATCTGAATATTAAAACAGAAACACTAAATTTATTGGAAGACAAATTGGGTACAAACCTTAAAGACATAGGGGTAAGTAGAGAATTCATGAACAGGACTCAAACCTCATGGGAAATACTTCCCAGAATCAATAGCTGGGACCACCTCTTATTAAAAATTTTCTGCATGTCAAAAGAAATCTCCAGCATAGTGAAAAGAAGACCCACAAACTGGGAAAAGATCTTAGTGAACTCCCCCTCAGACAGGGACTTTTGTCTAAAACATATAAGGAATTTTAAAAGCTCAGACCCCCAAAATTCAAAGATCCAATCCAAAAATGGGCATCTGAGATGAATACGCACTTCTCAGATGAAGAAATACAAATGGCAAATAAATACATGAAAAAATGTTCATCATCATTGTTCATTAGAGAAATGCAAATTAAAACCACACTGAGATTCCATCACACTCCTGAAAGAATGGCCAGGATCAAGAAAACCAATGGCAACAGATGCTAGAGAAGCTGTGGGGAAAAAGGAACTCTCCTACACTGTTGGTGGGAGTGTAGACTGGTACGACCTTTGTGGCAGTCAGTCTGGAGATGTCTCAAATTTGGGATTGGAAGTCCCATTTGTTCCAGCTATTCCATTTCTAGGCATATTCCCAGAAGAACTGAAAGCATCATACCACAGTGATCTATGTACACCCTGTTTATAGCAGCACAATTTGTAATGGCCAGATCTTGGAAACAACCCAAGTGTCCATCAACTGAGGAATGGATAGAAAAGTTGTGGTATTTCTATACAATGGAGTACTACTCAGCTATAAATAAGGATCACATTGAGATATTTATCAAAAAATGGGCACAGCTTGAGACCATACTCATAAGTGAAATAAATCAATCTTGCATGTGTGAATACTGAATAGTT